GTTGTGTTAGAAAGTTTTAATTATGGATTGTTAATTTTGAGCTTTTTTGCGCAAGAATTTAGAATAACTTGAGCTTGTGTTACCAATGGCAACTTTAGAGATATGATCAGGCCGCTTGTATAATGCACTAATGCATAAATCATTAAGGATACTGATTTGTGTTTTGCTTGTTTGCAGGAAGGAATGTGGTTCTGGATGAGTTTGGGACTCCAAAGGTGGTTAATGATGGTGTCACAATTGCTCGAGCAATAGAGTTACCAGATGCTATGGAAAATGCTGGTGCTGCTCTCATCAGGGAGGTTGGTCATTTGCACATTCTGTATCTTCCCTAAGATTTCTTCATTTTATATCCTACTTGTACTTTCGGATTTTGAGTTTCTTTTTCTTATTCTTTTAAAGCTGACTTGTTGAATGTTTGACAAAGGTTGCAAGCAAAACCAATGATTCTGCTGGTGATGGGACAACAACTGCATCAATTCTTGCTCGTGAAATTATCAAATTTGGTCTACTGAATGTTACCTCGGGTGCAAATCCAGTTTCCATAAAGAAAGGGATTGAGAAAACCGTGCAGGCTTTGGTTGAAGAGCTTGAGAAGAAATCCAGGCCTGTCAAAGGTGGCGATGATATTAAAGGTAGTGTGTTTCTCTGGTGTTTATCTTGTTATTTCTCACTCCATATATAAATTAGTTCATGTGAACAACTGGATAACTACTTTTGTGCTGATAAATTGCCGTGTTGCCTTCCAGCCATTGCTACCATCTCTGCTGGGAATGATGAAATTATTGGTACCATGATTGCTGATGCAATCGACAAAGTCGGACCTGATGGTGTTCTCTCCATTGAGTCATCCTCCTCCTTTGAGACAACTGTTGATGTGGAAGAAGGAATGGAGGTCTGTATTCATTGTGGAGTTTGGGCTCCTTGTCTTCCTCCTGTCATCCCTTGTCTTTGTTTGTGACTGTTCCTAATGTGGTCTAACTTGACTGATTTGATACTTCTCTTGACTTGCAGATTGATAGAGGATATATCTCTCCCCAATTCGTCACCAATCCTGAGAAATTAATTGTTGAATTTGAGAATGCAAGGGTGTTGGTCACAGATCAGAAGATATCAGCAATAAAAGACATAATTCCCTTGCTGGAGAAGACCACTCAATTGCGAGCCCCTCTTCTCATTATTGCTGAAGATATCACTGGGGAGGCTTTGGCTACTCTTGTGGTGAATAAGCTGCGCGGTATTCTGAATGTTGCTGCTATCAAAGCACCTGGTTTTGGTGAGAGGAGAAAGGCTCTCCTTCAAGATATTGCCATATTGACAGGTATATAAATTCTTGCTAATTTACTTGGAAACTTGCTTCCTCCTCATAACCAACCTATAGGGGGGAATAAATGCTATTGACATGTCATGTTTCTAAATATATTGACTTTCAATATTTGGACCGTGATTTTTGCGGAAGCCTGAAGGTTTCGATGTAGATAACAAAGGGATAAGTGGGGAAGTGTTGCCTTTCACTGTTGCGGAAAGTTCATTTGTCAGGCGCCCAAACCATATTGGAGTGAAGTACGAGTCCCACTTTTATTGGTGTCTACTTCCACGCAATGGAAATTTTCATATGTTCGCTTGTGCAAATGCAATACCTTGACCAACTGTTTCACCCAATGAACAAAATTTGACGAACACATGGATTGACTACTAATTATTGCACAAAATATATCTAAACAACTTCAGGATTTAGTACGGCTTACTATGTTCCTTTGTTGCTGCCTGTTTCCATCATTCAGGAGCCGAGTACCAAGCCAGTGATTTGGGAATGCTTATTGAAAATACCTCAGTTGAGCAGCTTGGTTTGGCCAGAAAAGTGACCGTCACCAAGGGTTCCACAACCATCATTGCTGATGCTGCAACAAAGGATGAGATTCAGGCTAGGATTGCACAGATTAAAAAGGAATTGTCAGAGACAGATTCTGTTTATGACTCTGAGAAGCTAGCTGAGCGAATTGCCAAATTGTCTGGCGGTGTTGCTGTTATAAAGGTAGGGGCTGCAACCGAAACTGAGCTTGAGGACCGTAAGCTTCGAATTGAAGATGCCAAGAATGCAACTTTTGCTGCCATAGAGGAAGGGATTGTTCCTGGTGGTGGTGCTGCATTGGTTCACCTTTCAACTCATGTTCCTGCTATTAAGGACAAGCTTGAAGATGCAGATGAGCGGTTAGGCGCTGACATTGTGCAGAAGGTAAAGACTGCACCATCTTTCTCCACCAACTGTTTGTTTAATATATTTATTTGTTCAGTCATTTCTTTGCTGATTTTATTCCTTCATCCCCCCCACTCCCCCCCTTTTTTTCTTTTTTTCACCTCTTTTATTTTGTCCTTTTTTGTAGTCATTTAGGGGAAAATTCATCTTATTCATGGTGATATAAAGCAAGAGCAATTTTATTGGGACATAATTTAGGGATATAATTTTATGACGTAATGAATTGTAATTTGTAATCAATATAGTGATAGTGGAATGCATTTAATGCTGTGATGGATCCCATCATTAAAGGCATTCTACTATCATCCATTGGTCACAATTCATTATATCCGTAAATTATGTCCCAATAGCATTAGTGATAAACCAAATGCAGTTGTGGCATGCAGTGTGGACACTCTCTTTTGGCAGGATATTAGATATAGTTAACTCTGTAACAATGAATATTTCCTAATATAGTAATTCTAGGAGTTAATAATTTTACGAGGTACCAACTTTATTCCATTCTAGACTATTGGAGAACTCTTACCATTTAATAATTAATAAAATAAAATCCTCCGTTAGTAATAGTTGAGAGAAAAACATGTGTATGCATGCATATATTAGATCTTAATCTTATTTGAGGCGTGAATTTAGTAGTGATAAAGGAAAATATCACTAAATCAGACTGTTATATTTATTGTCTAAAAATAGTTGGCCACCCTCGAGATCTTGTGGGCGGACCTGTTTAAGAGTACATGTTTGGTTGAGTTTCTGTTTGCTAAACCAGTTTCCTTTGTTGGGATCAGGGAATTGTTTAAGCTTGCTTTTCATTTTTGTTTCGGAGGTGTTTATGGGTTTGCCTCTGCCCTGACCAGGCTTTGCCTTATGGATTGACCGAGTTGTCGTCCTTGGTACTTATGGGAAGAATCGGAAGAAATATTGTGTTATGAAGAAATATTGTTAGCTATTAACAAAGCCAAGTTGTACTGTGGAGAAAGAAAAAGAAGTCACGAGAATCAAGTTCTTATTCTCGTTCTCGGATATATGGAAACCTGATTGTTTACTCACAGAAATGGGAACCGAGGGCTTGATCTACATAGCTCGTTCTTTACCTAAATGGATTCTTGCTCCTGCATTTGGTAACAATGTTTTGTTGGGTGTACTTGCTGACATGTATTTTTTGCTTGTAGGCACTGGTGGCTCCAACATCTTTGATAGCCCAAAATGCTGGGATTGAAGGAGAGGTGGTCGTTGAGAGGTTGAAGGATAGTGACTGGGAAATCGGTTACAATGCCATGACAGACAAGTATGAGAACCTGGTGGAAGCTGGAGTTATCGACCCAGCCAAAGTGACGAGATGTGCATTGCAGAATGCTGCCTCAGTTGCAGGAATGGTCCTTACCACACAGGCCATTGTTGTCGAGAAGCCCAAGCCCAAGACACCTGTGGTTGCTCCCCCACAGGGTCTTACTGTATAATCACCAGAACCTAGTATCTTTACAACAGATGATCAAGGAAAGAGGAGACCCAACCATGGAATATATTCCCATATTTTTTGGGTAAGTAGCATGAGATAGTCTTTGTTGGGTTGAGATTGAGTGGCCTTTTTTCTGTACGGATCTTAAGTATTTGACAATGTTTGCCTTCATTTAACCAAAGAATATCTCCACTGTTTTGTTCCGTCACAAGTCCGAATAATGTTGTAGGGCCTGCTACATGCACTCTGGTTGAAGTGTTCAAATTTACTACGGTTTCGATTTGGTTTTGATTTGCTCGAAGTTTATTTGGATTCAAATTAATCAAAATCTAAGGGCAGGGTTATTCTCATTCTACAAATCTTTATTTTCACCCCCATTTAATTTTTGGGTTAATCTGATTTTGCACCTTAAAAGATTGTTCAAATTTCAATTTACATCTTTAAAGATCAAAAATCTCAATTTGCATCCTCAAAGATAGAAATTTGTATCAATGTGTATCCTCAAAGATCAAAAATTTCAATTTGCACCTTCAAAAATAGAAATTTATATCAATGTGCACTTCAAAGATAAAAAATCTCAATTTGCACCCTCAAATATAAAAATTTGTATCAATGTGCACCTAAAACTAAATTGATAAATTATACCTAGATCCCCTCATACTTGTCACTTAATCATTTAGACCTCTTCATATTTAGAATATTACTCTTACATCTTATGACATTTGTGTACGTATAACATGTAACTTATTTTCATTGATATCTATTAATATAACCGTTAAAAAATATAATTTTATCTTAATAAAAAATTATAATTTCATATTACCCTTTATTTTATGAGTTCAATATATTCTAAAGTTCAAAATCTAGTTTATCATTTGAATGTCTAATAAAATATAGATATTTATATAAAAGGTAATATGAAAAACATTATATAAATATTTAAAACAGGCCCATAGTCATTTTATCAGGTAAGCTCTATGAAAGAAAGGAAAGCTTACCATCTTGGATGCAAATCCAAGCAATTTGCATAAAAACAAATAACCAAAAAAAAAAGGGCTTAGGAAGGACGGCTCCTCCCAAAAAATTTAATAGGATAAAAGTACACTTTTTAAAATAATTAAAATAAAAGTACATATACTAAAAAAAATCATAAAAACCCTTTTTTCTCTACCATAAATAGCGCATACCTAATTGAATGTGAGATTTTCAAGATTTTTTTTGATATTTGTGTATCATTTGAATTTTAAAATTTCATATATATATATAGACACACACACACACACACGTAATACAGTGACATTGACAAGCTCAACAATAAAATAATAATATCAAACAGTGACAACACGCTCAACAAAAAAATAATAACATTAAACAGAAACACACTTANAAATCCTTTGACATTGATGTGAACAAAAAATAAGGAAAGTTAATGGATTTACCTACCCAAGGGCCCCAGTCAATGTCCCAACAACCAACCTGTGGTTTTCCTTTTCTTAGGAAACATGNTTTCAAGATTTTTTTTGATATTTGTGTATCATTTGAATTTTAAAATTTCATATATATATATAGACACACACACACACACACGTAATACAGTGACATTGACAAGCTCAACAATAAAATAATAATATCAAACAGTGACAACACGCTCAACAAAAAAATAATAACATTAAACAGAAACACACTTAACAAAAAAAATAGTAACATCAAACAGTAACACACTTAACAAAAAAATAGTAACATCAAACAGTAACACAAATATTTTTGTTGAGCGTGTCACTGTATTACGTGTGTGTGTATGTATATATGTGTGTGTTTGTGTGTGTGTGTCTATATATATATATATATATATATAATATTTTAAAATTCAAATTATACACAAATATCAAAAGAAATCTTGAAAGTCTCACATTATAATATTAAAAGTTACACATTCAAGTAGGTGTGTATTATTTATGGTAGGGGTAATTATGGAATACATTTTAAAAAGAATTTAAAAATATTTAAAAATGTGTATTTATTGACAATTATTTGATGAAAAAGAGAACTTAAAGGAGGATAAGTTTAGAGGTCGTACTTAAAGCCAAATAAATTTTGGAAAGGTACTCACATCCCATTATTCCAAAAAAAAAAATTATAAACAAAAAGTCATTTTTATTTGGAAGTAAAAGAGCAAAAAATAAAAAATAAAAGAAATAGAGAACAATAAACAAAAATTATGAATCGTTTTACGGAAGACATTAATTGTATGATACTAATATAAGTTATGAGTAATGCTATACAGATTTAAAAAGCTAACTTAAAAACTTGACTTGACGAGATGACTGTTATATTTGTCATTTACTTAATTATAGGTCCTAATATTTATTAGGACATTGAGACTCATTATCTATTTAATAATAGATTTTTTAAGTCTATTTAATATTTACCATAAAAACATGATATCCACTTGGCCCAATTTATTAGAGATACAACAAATGGGTGGTGTTATTCAAAACACCTCTGGAATGAGTTCACCTGGAGGCTGTTTGGTATATGGGTTTTTTTTTTTTTTTGGGGGGGGTTGGGTTTCATATGTGGGTTAAATAGTTTAACATACAAATAATATTTATATCATAATATATTCAATATACTCCATATTACCCAAATTAATTAAGGGACACAATAATCATATATCCGTGCGCATACTAAATGTGAGTATGAACAATATTAAATATTGAATTTCATCTTTGAATTTAGACAAATCAATCCAAATCTCTTCCAAAATACATATCAAACAGGCCTAACGCAAAAGCAAGCTATTCAATCACTATCCTATCTCTACTTTGTTTTATTTACATTTCTAATCAGCCTGTGTTAGTGTAGTGGTGGTCCCTAGTCCAATAATTTTATGAGTATCTTGCTATAGGCTGCTATTAGAGCCCAGGGGGTTCAAAGTCTTTGTCAACCACGTTTCATGTGTTAATAGATATAAATTATAAATTTAGATATTTTGACTTTAAATTTTAAGAATCTTTTGAAATTAGACTATAAAAAATTTATTACTCATAAATACTATAGTTCTGGATCAAGAAAAAGATTAATTTAGATGTACGTAAATTAACTTAAACACCTATAAAACATTAAAAAAAAAAAAGTCTCTGACTCTCTGTCAAGAATTTCAAAACCCAACACTTGAAAGCATTGAATATTCATTTTCCTTATGAAAGCTCCACCTGCTCAAAGCATGGTCCCCCATTTCCCATTTTCAAGATTCCACTGCACTGTTTGTCGGATGATTAAATATGGGACGTTGGTTTAGCCTCGTTGAATACCAGAAATGAACTTGAGAGCGACTCATTATCCTTCTACCAAAAAACTCATTTTTTTATAAAATAATATTATTTAAATTTAATTTATTGTGATCTATTATCAATTCAATAATTATGAATAATTTGATCAATAAATTAAATTAATAAATTATGTCCAAATAATATTACTCTTTTTTATATGGGATAACATTATGATTGGTGCTGATGCATCTTTTTTTTTCCCTTCTTTTAATACTAGCGTGGTACGTGTAAAGTATCTTTGTTTATTTGATTGTTTTTAATTTATTTTTTAATTTTTGCAATCAAATTAATTTTACTTTGTTTGCTACAAATTTGGTTTTGCTAACATCATGATCGAGGGCATTTTAATATTTAGATTGTCAATGAATGGTGAATTTGATCGGAAGAGAAATGAGATATTGGGGCCGTTTGGAGTTGACTTTTTAAGTGAAAAGTTGCGATTTAAAAAACATCGCTAAAAAGTTAAAGTTAAAAAAATTGTATTTTTTTGAATTTTTTATGTCAAAATAAAAAAATAATTACATGTATATATAGATTACGTATAATTATTCCAAAAATATTACTTTTAAATTTTTTTACGTCACGAATAATATTTTATGAATATAATAACTTAAAAATTATGTGGGACTCATGACAAAAATTGCAAAAAAATTCGGGAAAAAGTTCATAAAATCAATTTTTTGAATTAGACTAAATAAATTTTTTTCTGATCCAAAAAACTGTTGCATAAACTGATAAAAAAAATCAAGATCCAAACGAACTTGACTTATTTTACTCAAAACTCTTTAAAAACTACCTATTTATACTAGTTCTAAACAGATCCAATAATCATAAATATCTTCATCTTAATCAATTAGAATTGATTAATAATTTCAAATAGAACACCACGCAATTCCATTCACACCCTCATTTCAATCGTTGATATGGAATAATTTATGAGAACCGTCAGTATATATAGGAAAAGAATCATCTAAATTAAATATTCTTTGCTTAAAGATCTAATTAAAAGCTTGCCCTAGCTATCCCAGTTCCATTTACTCAACTCACAACACACGTTCAAAATCTTGAAGACTTATAGTACCTAGCTTTACATTAAAAAAAAAAAAAAAACACAAATTTTATAATTCTTGAAAAGAGTGCATCAACTCTGAGATAACTTTTTTATATGTTGTATAAAAAAGGAGTTTAATAGGATTTTTGATCTCTAAAATATGTATATTTTATCAGTTTGGTCCCTAAAGTATTCAATTTATGTTTAAATAATCCCTGCATAAACGTACCATTAAAATTTTGATGGAATAATCCCGTGTATTGGGCACGTTGTAGTTATTTTAATTAAAAAAATTTAACGAATTGTCTGATTATAGATCAAAATAATTTAGACAAAAACTGTAGAATTAATATAATAAGGATCAAACTGAGAAAACGGACATACTTTAAGAACTAAAAATCTTATTAACCCGAAAAATGGTGATCAGGATAGGTCTGATGAGAATATTAATATGATACCTTTAACAAGTTTTAAAAACGGAACATATTATTAAGGTATTTCTTGTGCTATTTGGTCATTGTTTTCACATTCATTGTACTGGGAAAAAACATTGATACTTCTTGTTGGGTTCTCACAGAATTTTCTTTTTAATTACAAATTTAAAAATGAAATTGGTGT